TTACGTGAAAATGGTACTTGAAAAATTCAAACACTTGGAATTTAGAAGTGCAAGAACTCCAATTGACTTAAACCATCATCTTATAAAGAATAAAGGTGAAGTACGTCTCAATTGGAGTATGCTCGTGTGTTGGGAAGCTTAATGTATATCATGAACTGTACACGACCTGATATAGCTTGTGCAATAAGTAAACTTAGTCGATTCACAAGTAATCCCAACAAACATCACTGGGTGGCAATGAAACGAGTTCTGGGATATTTGGAATATACCCAAGACTACGCTTTGCACTACAATAAATATCCTGCGGTTATCGAAGGATATAGTCATGCAAATTGGATAACCAGCTCAACAGAAACAAAGTCCACAAGTGGATATGTTTTTACTGTTGGTGGAGGAGCAGTATCTTGGAAGTCTTCCAAACAGACGTGCATCGCTCGCTCTACAATGGAATCAGAGTTTATAGCTTTGGATAAAGCCGGTGAAGAAGCTGAATGGCTTCGAAATTTCTTAGAAGACATTCCGTTCTGGCCAAAACCTTTGGCTCCTATTTGCATACATTGCGATAGTGAGGCTGCAATAGGACGTGCAGGGAGCGTTATGCATAACGGAAAGTCTCGTCATATACGACGAAGACATAACACCGTTAGACAACTACTTTCTAGTGTAATTATCACTATTGTTTATGTAAGGTCAAAGGATAATGTGGCGGATCCGCTTACAAAAGACTTAACTAGAGAGGGAGTTGAGAAATCATCTAAAGGAATGGGACTATGGCCGAGGACAAGTCAACATGGCGGTAACTCTACCTAGAATTTTGGATATTCCGAGATCTAGGTTCAAGGAGCTCAAACAAAGTTGTGATTGACCGGTTCAACATTGTCAAAGTAAAATCTTTGGTCCATTCTCGTGATGAAGACAATGTTCAGTAACAAGGATAGAACTTTACACGTTCTTTAATGATTACCTAAGTGTGATGTGGTATTTATCAAATAGTGTCAATCTAAAGGATTACACGTTTAGGAATCACCTATGTAAGTGTGAAGTGGAAGCCACTTCAATGAGAATTCTGTAAGGCCAATTCTCTACGCACTTATGAAACCAGGCGGTGTTCATGGCTGAAACGAACACAACAATGAGAACCAAAAGACGGTTAAGGGTTGGGGTTGTGACATATGGTTGTCTAGGTATACACTAAAGTTCGACGGTTCAAAGATATCAAATCTACCGATTGACCGAGTATATCCGACATATGTTCACTACGGAAAGTTCAAAGGAAAACCTACTTATCCAGATGCAATTAATCCTTACTTGCAAATCACACAACTTTCATCTATGATCATTCTTGTTACAGTCATTCCCATTCTTGTGGTGGATTGTTGGACTTTAAGCATTGGGTTTTAAAGACATTAAGCATTGGGCTTTAAAAGTCTAAGAGTGTAAATTGGAAATGGTGGGAAATAAAATGGAGGGAAATGAAAATTTGAATGAAGTGAGCTTTTGTCTTGAACTTTGTCCCTCATTGGTGAGGGACAACTAAATTTGTGTGTGTATATATAGAATCACTTCGTAGAGCTCTTAAAAGAGTTGAAGAGAATGAACCCTCGCGCCGTCGTCGTCGCTCGCTCGGCTCGGCTTCGGCTTCGGCTTCGGCTTCGGCTTCGGCTTTGGATTTGGATTTGGATTTGGATTTGTCAAATGATCGATAAGATTATTTTTTGGACAAAATTTATTTAATTAATTATTTAATAATTAATTAAAAGCCAGTCAGTTAATTAACGAAATTAACTGAAATTTGAAATCCAAATCTGAACGTTTTTTTTCCTTCTGAACAGACGCTTTTCCTGAACAGTCACACCTCTTACGATAATTGCTTATAAACTCTGAGGCATGGCTGCATTTTCGAAACACTGAAACATTACAGAACTTCCTTCCTTCTGAATATCCTGCATTCTATTTCGCAGAATTCTCTCAAATTGGTAAGTGTGATTTTGCTCCGTTCTTTGAGTTCGTTGGTATCCTGCAGTTTGTATTGCTATTGTGGCAGGAAGGTTTATTCCGTTTCACCCTGAGAGGATTTAGTCCATTACCTTGGCAACGTGTGAGGGGGTTAAAATTCCTTAAGGACGCACAAGCAAATTGTGGACTCGGAATATTTTTTATACTTTACTGTTTTTTCCAGTTTTTTATTCTAACAGTCTTTCTGATTTTGCGTTTTAACACAGTAACGTTCACACAATGCAGTACACTATAAAACGACATGTAACAGCAGTCCAAACAAGCTGTTAAATGTTAAACCTTTAAGTCCGTGAGACGTGACCGGAACCCGACTATCAGCCCCGTCGAACAAACCCTTACTAGGTTACTATGCTAACATTATATTACCAGGAAATAAATAGCAGATTTATAAATTAACATGATCCATAATAAGGAGCTAAACGCCTACACAAATCCCATAAACCAAGTACATATTTATAGGTAGGTCTGTCAAGTTTAGCCCAAATCCCAAATGACCCTTTCAACCCGCCCAAGGTTAGGCTGGTTATTGACCCGCTTATTTATTGAACTCAACCAATTTTAACCCAATCCGTCTCAACTCATTTAAAGTTGGGTTGATTCTTAGTCCAAATTGATCCATGAATAGCTTTGTAAATATATCTTAGAAATAAATTTATTTTTTTGTTTGTTATGTTATATATGACCATAAAAAAAGAAAAAAAAGTCTTATTTAGTAATTATACAATTCATAAAACTAAAGATTGATAGAGTTGGACGAGTTGGACTATGACCCAAATTTTAACCTATTTTGGCCCAACTCATCTTAGCCCAAGTAATTTTTCGCCCAAAATCGACCCAATCATCTAGTGAATATCAATTCTTGCCTGCTAACCAAAAGGTGTTTTACTTTGGGTCTATGAAAGTTAACGTGCAGAAACTTATGATGTGGTATTTTGTCTTGTGAATGTTTGTTTGCTTGTATTTTCGGTCGCTTTACATTTTGTGGAGATTTGTTAGGGGCGGACCGACATACGTTATAGTTGGTGCTTCTTCATCCAAATATTGTTTTATTTATATTGGAAAACTTAGCAAAATTTGAATAGACAAAATGTTAAAGAATGAAAGAAAGACTTTTAAAACTTGTAATTTAAAACGAGATATAAATATTTGTGTGATTGTAAATTATTTCATTATGTTAAAATAAAAGGTTTTAAATTAATTTATTTATGAAATTAGAAAACTATTATTCTTTTACGAACCTACTAAAAAGAAAATAATGTCATATTAAATGAAACAGAGGAGTAGTAAAAAAGTGACAATATCAGAACATTTTGAAGGACCTTGTAATATTCAGGACATGGGAGTAATTGATTATGTGTTCTTTTCTTATCTCCTTTTTTTTTTTTTAAATTCAAAACAATAACAACAACAACAATAACATACCCAGTAAAATCCCACTAGTGGGGTCTGGGGAGAGTAGAGTGTACGCAGACCTTACCCCTACCCCGAAAAGGGCAGAGAGGCTGTTTCCAGGAGACTTTCGGCTCAACAGGAAATGCAATAATATCAGAAGAGAAATAAGAGAAAAGACATGTAACAATAAAAGATACCAAAAAGAAAATAACCACAACAAATAAGTGAAAGGACAATAACACAAAACTATGCAAAATACCAATGTGAATACAACAAAGACCGCTAACAAACCTAACGAAACTCTACCAGACTACCAGGTACAAAGAGGGAAGAACTCTCAACTACCCCCTAGCCTACCACCCTAATGCTCGACCTCCACATGTTCCTATCAAGAGCCATGTCCTTGAAAATCTGAAGTCGCGCCATGTCCTGCCTGATCACCTCGCCCCAGTACTTCCTAGGACGCCCTCTGCCTCTTCTCGTACCTGCCAAAGTCAACCGCTCACACCTCCTAACCGGTGCATCTAGGCTTCTCCTCCACACGTGTCCGAACCATCTAAGCCGCGCTTTCCGCATCTTGTCGTCCACGGGAGCCACGCCCACCCTCTCTCGAATATCTTCATTCCGAATCTTATCTAGCCTAGTGTGCCCACACATCCATCTCAACATCCTTATTTCTGATACTTTCATCTTCTGGATATGTGAATTCTTGACTGGCCAACACTTAGCTCCATACAACATGGCCGGTCTAACCACCGCTTTATAGAACTTACCTTTGAGTTTCGGTGGCACATTCTTGTCACACAGGACTCCAGACGCTAACCTCCATTTCATCTAACCCACTCATATACGGTGCGTAACATCCCCATCGATCTCCCCATCTCCTTGGATAATTGACCCTAAGTACTTAAAACTTTCTCTCTTGAGAATGACCTGTGAGTCAAGCCTAACTTCCACATTCACTTCCCCCGTCATGTTGCCGAAGTTACATTCCATATATTCTGTCTTAGTCCTACTCAACTTGAAACCTTTAGACTCTAGAGTCTGCCTCCATACCTCCAGTCTCCCATTAATGCCGCTTCGCGTCTCATCAATCAGAACTATATCATCAGCGAACAACATACACCATGGCACCTCTCCTTGGATATGGTATGTCAGTGTGTCCATCGCCAGAGCAAATAAGAACGGGCTGAGCGCAGATCCTTGGTGTAATCCCATAACCACCGGAAAAGGCTCTGAGTCACCTCCCACAGTCCTAACCCGAGTCATAGCTCCATCATACATATCCTTTATCGCCCTAATGTAAGCCACCGGCACACCTTTCACCTCCAGACACCTCCAAAGGACGTCCCTAGGGACCTTGTCATATGCCTTCTCTAGGTCAATAAACACCATATGCAAATCCCTCTTCCTATCCCTATATAGTTCCACCAACCTCCTGATAAGGTGGATAGCTTCCGTAGTAGAACGGCCCGGCATGAACCCGAACTGGTTTTCCGCTATAGACACCGCCCTCTTTATCCTCATTTCCACCACCCTCTCCCAGACTTTCATGGTATGACTTAGTAACTTGATACCCCTATAGTTGTTACAATTCTTGATATCCTCTTCGTTCTTGAACACCGGAACCATTGTACTCCACCGCCACTCATCAGGCATCCTCTTTGTCTTGAAGATAACATTAAACATCCCAGTCAGCCACTCCAAGTCTGCCCTACCCGCATATCTCCAAAACTCTACTGGAATCTCGTCAGGCCCGGTCGCTTTGCCGCGACTCATCTTACCCATCGCACCCACGACCTCCTCAACCTTAATGCGCCTACAATACCTAAAGTCTCGATGACTCTCGGAGTGCCCCAATTGCCCTAACACGATGTTTCCATCCCCCTCTTCATTCAGAAGTTTATGAAAGTACGACTGCCATCTTTGCCTAATCTGGGCCTCTTCCATCAATACTCGACCGTCCTCGTCTTTGATACACCTCACTTGATCCAGATCGCGAGCCTTCTTCTCTCTCGCTTTGGCCAATTGAAATAACTTCTTATCCCCACCTTTGCTCCCAGTTCCTCATAAAGCCGACCAAAACCAGCAGTCTTAGAATCAAAATGTACAACAACAATTTCCTCCATTTCAACAAGCTGGTGGATGCAACTAAATTTGAGGTACATGTCGATTTCCAATATCCCATAGAAATAATTTTATCATACGGTATGTACTATATATAGTTAACTACTTGCTATAATAGTGGGAGTCCAAAACTTAATTAATAATTTTTTGAACATAAAATACATTTTTGATGTTAAAAAAAAGATACAATAATGGGTATTTCGCAGTTTTATACTGCGAATTGGCTTAACGGATTTTTTGCCGTTAAGGCATTTCGCAGTATAAAACTACGAAATATTAAAAAAATAATTTTTTTATGACATTTCGTAGTACAGTACTGCGAAATAGGCTGATTTTAGGCCCCACCAATAATTAACTGACATAAAAATAATTCAAATACATAAAACATAGTATAATACTGCGAATTACTTTGAAAAATTGTACACCCCACGGTCGGACTTGCCTTATTTATAGGCGCTTCAATTTTATAAAAATTCATTCCACACTTAAACTTCAAACATACGTTTATTCTCTCTTCTCCTTATCAATCAATTTTTTACAATGTCTGAAGTGCCAAAAATAAGAGTTTCACTGTATTGGGGGTGAGGGGTGAGATTGTGGTGGAGAATAACTCTGTGAGGTATAGCTCACCTCCACAGTGTCATGTTAAATTGTCGCTTAATATGGAGTACGATACATTGGTATCGTTGTTACGTAAAAAAATGAGTGAGCGGGAGGCGTTCGGTTAGCCTTAAAGTAACCGGTAGATTTCCTTATTCAGTGACTCCGCAGGGGTTTGCTTATTATTCTGAGTTTAACATCGAGGATGATGAAACTCTTAGAGATTTTTTGCGAATTCCGGATGAATACAGGGAATTTATTGTAATAAAATTATTGGAAATGTACGTCAAGGTGGAAGACGTTCCTAGTAATGAGGGCGTGCATAGCAGGGATAACCCCCAGTCATCGAGTGGTTATTCTGGAGCAGCGTTTGCCGGACAGATTGGAGATGAAAGAGCTTGCCTTGATTTAAACTTGTCACCACAGGCGAATGAGTAGCCAGAAAATAATGTTTCCACTTTATATAATCAACAAGACGACTAGTAAACTTCAATTTTACTACGTTTTAGCGGATTTTTTTCATGTTTTAATTGGATTTGTATTAGCACTCATATTTTTTATAGGGGGTACCGTCCGGATTTGAATTTTACAAGTTATGACCTTGCCCCTAGTTGGAATCTGCGTAGGTCTGGAGTATTGGACCACGGTGGTCCATCTGGGAGTTATCACCAACCTGAAAATATCCATCATGAAACGTCAAGACAATACGATTTGTAAGTAAAGTGATATAGCGATATCTAAAGTATTTTTCCTGAGTATTGGGTAACTTAGGTTTTTGTTCGTTTTGTGCAGTGAAAACGAGCTTCCTGAAGCTCCTGGCCTCACACAGTTGCCCATAGACGACGTTTTTACTCGTGATTTGGCAGATGCGCAGAGTCAGGAGGATGATAGTGATTATGACAACAATGCGGGATGAGACACCCTTCCATGATGAGGGTGATGATGAGGAGGAGGAAGTGAATGTTGAACCTGAGCTGACTAGGGAGCATGTTCCTCCACCTCCCGCTAGACCAAGAGTGTATGAGTCCCACGTGCCATTTCATGAGTGAAATATTCCCTACCCTGATAATTTGCCAAGCATGCCTAGCGTTGATGCCCTAACAAGGGATGATGATGAATTACGGTCAGTGATGTGGGATGAATCTAGACCAGTTGTTCTTACAAAGGGCATGTATTTCCCCGATAAAGCTCGCCTAGTTAGGGCTGTAAAAATCTACAGTATAAGGGAGTGTCGTGAGATGACGGTAAGTGAGCCAACTACGGAGAAATACAAGGCTGTATGCCGTAGGTGGTTTATGGGTTGTCACTGGATGCTGCGTGCCACAAAGAAGAAACCAGGTTTGTGGAAAGTGGGTAAATTTATTAGCGAGCACAGATGTGAAATGGACACATTCAAGTGAAATGTATGCGTCTCCGGTCGCCACCGCTCTACCAAGGACGTGATGAGCGACCAATCAAGCTGCATCCGTCCAAGCTGAAAAATGGTATATAATCCCGAAGTCTGGAGGATCTCTACTACGCGGGGATGGAAAGGATGCTCCGCAATAAACTCCCACAAATCATCAGGCCTCCTGGGGCGGAGAGGCTGCATCGCTAGCTGTCCCTCCCAAACATAGGATGACCTATGGTCGCCCTGCAGCACTAGTAGCTGATCCTCGGCAGGTCCAGGATGCGCAGGCGAAGGAAACGCCATGTCATCTACTATAATTTAAACAAAATTAATTGTTTGTGTTAGTGTAATAAATTAAATTAAGTAAGATTTTTGAAATTGGAGATAATAGTTATGTATGGGTTCCAGGCTTGATTTTTGACGCCCTGTGCCACCGAATAATTCTTAATTATTATAAGTCTCAATTTCAAAATTTTTAGATTTTTATTAACTTAATAAATTAAATTAAGTATGATTTTTGAAATTGGAGATAATAGTTATGTATGGGTTCCAGGCTTGATTTTTGACGCCCGGTGCCACCGAATAATTCTTAATTATTATAAGTCTCAATTTCTACGCTAAAAGGCTCTACATTTTACTACGCTAAAAGGCTCTACATTTTATTTCGCTAAAAGACACTATATTTTACTACGCTATAAGGCTATACAATATGAACATAACATCAACAATACAAATAAACAAAATAAATAATATTATTTAACACAAACAATCAAGTAGCATTTTTGGTCACAAACATAACATAAATTCGGATATCAAATAAATCAAACCGGGTATATAAAAGAAACAAAATTAAACACTAACATAACAAAAATTCACATGGAAACATACTAAACAATACTAATGCATGACTATATGAGTTTCGGCATAAACTAAATTGAAATACCTCGATGTAAATATTATTGAAATCGAATTTTTGCACCCGAAACACGCAATCCAAAACTTCTTTTGTGTGTGGGACCTACACTTCTTGCTCTTTATGGGACGGATGGGGCCGAAATTTTTTTTTTTTTAAATTGTAGGCGGGGTGGGGGACCAGAAAACTTTGAGTTTGATTTTTTAATGGAGATCGTTGTCTGTGGGAAGAAGACGACCCGTTTTTTATTAGGGTAATTCGTAGTACAGTACAACGAAGTACTACCAAATGTCATAAAAAAATTATTTTTTTTAAAACTGCGAAATGCCTTAATGGAAAAAAATCCATTAAGCCAATTCGCAGTATAAAACTGCAAAATACCTATTATTGTATCTTTCTTTTTTTTTAACATCAAAAATGTATTTTATGTTCAAAAAATTATTAATTAAGTTTTGGACTCATAATAGTGGTGGGGATTTGATTTTTGTTTTGGTACTAGAATACTAATTTTCAAGAATCCTATGTAAAACAATTTGGAAAACACCAACAGAAATCCTGAGTTTGGGACAAACATTATAATTGGTTATGTGACAGGTGTGAGAATTTTTGTTCTTTTTGTCTCTTTATTAGCATCCCCACCATTGAGATTGTAACAATGATTATATCAACTATAATTGTCTTCATTCGATATCTTGAGGGCCGCAACATGCACTAAATTAGTCTTGATCCACACACATTAAAGATTATGATCATGTTAATTAACCAGAGTGTTGACAGTTGACAAATAAGCTTATCTGCATTTCTCCTTTTTCTTTGAACAATAATCCCCTTGTTTGCCAATGAAACGATCGAACGTCACATCATCCTATGAAAAAGATAATATTTTAGTATAAGAATGCATAATAGATGGATGACAAGCAGAAGTTTTTTTCCCTACTTTTGTTACCTTCATATTCAATGGCAGAAATATGATTTTTTACTAAAACGGAATCAAAATATAAAGAATTAAATTTACGAAGAAGCTAAAGTTATATTTTTAATATATATTTTATATTCATACAAATAACTTACCTAATTATAATTGACACACCTCGAGCAAAGGTGATTCTAATATTTTGGTCCACCAGTTGTCTATTACATGGTAAAGCTGTCATAACGAGCTGGCCACGTTCAACCCTAGCGAATCGAAGAATGCAATAACCCAGCATAGCACATAGCTCTTCATTTGTATCGAGACTTAGTGTATTTATACTTACCCGGAATTCCCACCTTCGAGATCGTAATGACACCTAATATTTCACTTGTTAGGGAAGCCAACGTTAGAGAAAAAGCCAGTTTTTAAACAACTCAAATAATTAAACTGAAATGAAACTAAAACGAAGTACGAAGTGGCATAACAACCAATAATATCTAAGTACGACCCGGATTTAGAGTCACAAGTGCACGAGCTTCTAGAAGTTCTACAAATAAAGTCTGCAATAAGTACAAATGTCTCGAATAAAATGAATAGTAAAAGAGGAAAGTGAAAGGGGACTTCAAGGTCAGCGGACGCCAGCACATCTACCTCAAGTCTCCAAATATGCCAATCCAAGCTGATGCACCTCACGTACAGCTGGGACCAGTAGCAAAATCTGCACAAGAAGTGCAGAGTGTAGTATGAGTACAACCAACCTAATGTGCTCCATAAATATCGAGCCTAACCTCGACGAGGTAGCGACGGAGCTATGACATGACACTCACGTAATTAAACTTGTACGAACGAAGATATATGTGCAACATAGTAACAAATAAAGATTTAATATGTAAAATTGGGAGGGGACATGCAAATTGGGAACAAGATAAGATATTACAACAGGAATGATAACATAAGACGGTCAAATAAATCCTCAAACAATGGAAACGGATAAACATAATGAATAA